GATGATGTTCCCTATATCTTATTGCAAGTCGAGCATCATATTCGTTAAAAAAACCTTCATTCGTGTCTTCTTTCAATAGTTTAGGATTGATCTCTTAGATTTGTCTAAATGTTAGTATTTTTATAGGTCGCAGAGGACTTAACGGGTTGCCGTGGCACCGGCTTGAAGGGCAGGAGTAGGAACGAGGTGGTTTTTATATAGTCAGTAAGAGTCTGACACTCCCTCCCGCCTCACCCAGGCGGGAGAAATAATAAAATAAAAAGTATTTTTATAGAGCTGTCTGTCCAGACATCTATTTGACCCTAACAACAAACTAATGCCGGTACTTCACTACATGGTACTCTTTAAATGACGTCCAGATTAAGGTGACTTGCTTGCAGCGGGTATTTTCAATCTTTGTTAGGTCTATTGAATAGACCTTATTTCATCACATATTATCAGTTTTTAATTTAACCTCATGTATAAATATTTCTATGTTTCTTTTTTTAAAACAGGTAAAAGATAAAATTGGGTAAAGTAATTTATTTACAATATAAAGGTTTGGATTGTGACGTCGTTATCAATACAAATGACGTTCAAGTTGAAATTAACTGCGACATTCAGTGTAATATCACTGGTTAAATTGATCCCAGTTACTACTCAAACTGGTATAGGCAGTACCTAACATGTTGTTTGTATATACGATTTGAATATAATTTAGATTTTAAACATAGGTATTTCCGCGCGCATCAAAAAATCGTTAAATCATCACAGATAGGGGCCAATAAGGCTGATGCTCGACCTAGGGCTACGGACAACCTAACCGGTTACCGAGACTCCGGCTATAAATAAGCAGGAGTAGGAGCGGGGTGGTTTTTAGTTAGTAGAAGCTTGACATTTCTATAATTTCAGCCAGCCATCGACAAATACTATTGCTAATATTATGTTATTTGCTATTATCTCTATCAACACCTTCTTCTTGAATATTCACGTCACAGCGACCCCCAAAAGAAATGCCAAGCCTTAAAATTATGGTAGACTCACTCTAGAAAATATAGCATTTTAGCAGTAGTTTCACTTCTGGATGATGACGATTATAGTCCTTGTTATCAACTGCCACTTTCTCAAGCAATGATAGCCAGTGTGGATTTGTATTTTTTTTCATTCATCACAATTTAGGACTGATACTAGCTTTTAGGAGGTGTCTGGAAGTATGGACACTGTGACGGCATTAATGAGTTCAGAATGATCTATACTCAGGTGAATGAAGTGATGACTGATCAGTCAGTCGATATATAGGTTCGACTAGCTGTTGCCCGCGACTTCGTCCGCGTAGAATAATGACTTCTGGCAGAATTTAGGCTTTTGAATTAGTTTTTATCAAGGGATATTCTACGGTAATGGATGTCGTCAGAATTGATTCAGTCCCGTAGATGATAGCGTGATAATATGTAGCCTATATGTTTACCAGACTTGTTAGTAATATTCATGCAAAATTTGAAATAGTAGTGCAGTACTTTTTGAGATCATCACGGCCATACATACAGACAAACAGACAAAAATTCTAAAAACCACATTATTGGCTTCGGTATCGATTAGAGATCACGCTTCAAATATTCTTTTAAAAAATATTCAATGTACAGTTTTGACTTTTCTACGATTTATTATATGTGTTGCTTCGTCCGCGTAGATTAATGACTTCTGACAGAATTAACCAGAATCAATTCAGTGCCCAAGTAAGATTTACCTATTTTGAAATGATTTATCGTAGTTTCAATAAATAAATAATCCCGCAGGGATCTTACCAGTACAGTGCCCGATCACGTAAGGTTTGAGTAATAAAAACTATTCTATCGACTATTGTTGTACCGAATCTCTCTAGAATAAGTTCAGTGGTTAAGAGTTAGAGAGTCCTGGGGCATTGACGCATAGTTCCCGTTCTCGTGAGACATCTGTGAAAAAACTATCATACGTTACCCAGGTCCCAAATCATCGTTTTACCGAATGTAATTCAAAAAGATTCAATGATTCTAAATTCAACGGCTAAGAAGATTTATACAAACTCTCATTCCCTATTTTATCCCCTTAGGGGTGGAATTTATCAAAATCCTTTCTAAAGAGATACCTATGTCATAGTAACTTTATGCATGCAAAGTCTCAGCCCGATCAATTTAAAACTGGCAAAGTATCATACTTTGGGGTGAGAATGTTCAAAAACCTTTCTAAAGGGACGTTTACGTCATAATATCCATCTGCACGCCGAATTTCAACCCGATCGGTGTAAAACTGACAAAGCCTCACACAAACGTTCATCCCCTATTTTACCCCCTTGGTGGAAATTATCAAAATCCTTTCAAAGCGGATGCTTACGTCATAACATCTATCTGCATGCCAAATTACAACCCGATCGGTTTAAAACTGACAAAGTCTCATACAAACTTTCATCCCCTATTTTACCCCCATTGGGGGTGGAAATTATCAAAATCCTTTCACATCGGATGCTTACGTCATAACATCTATCTGCATGCCAAATTACAACCCGATCGGTTTAAAACTGACAAAGTCTCATACAAACTTTCATCCCCTATTGTACCCCCATTGGGGGTGGAAATTATCAAAATCCTTTCACATCGGATGCTTACGTCATAACATCTATCTGCATGCCAAATTTCAACCTGATCGGTTTAAAACTGACAAAGGCTCATACAAACTTTCATCCCCTTTTTTACCCCCTTGGGGGTGGAAATTATCAAAATCCTTTCACAGCGGATGCTTACGTCATAACATCTATCTGCATGCTAAATTTCAACCCGATCGGTTTAAAACTGACAAAGTCTCATACAAACTTTCATCCCCTATTTTACCCACATTATGGGGTGGAAATTATCAAAATCCTTTCTTAGCGAATGCCTACGTCATAACATCTATCTGTATGCCAAATTTTAGCAATCTGTCCAGCGGTTTGGGCTGTGCGTTGATAGATCACTATGTCAGTCAGTCAATCAGTCAGTCAGTCAATCACCTTTGAATTTTATATATATAGATTATTATATACGTGATTCATAATTTATATTTAAAATTATTAAATAGAAGATTAGTATTAGATAGGAATACATTTCATAGCATGGTTAACGGTCATAGGTTTATTCCCGTATGTCACAATCATTTGTTTTACACCAATTGTTGTTGAGGGTGACTTATATGTAGAATATTATACATTTATTAATTTAGTCCACGTCCAATCCAGTTAAAAAAAATATCACTTTTTTGTAATCATTTATGATGATTACATAAAAAATGTAAGCATATACATGCAGGTAAGTGACGAAATATAGAGTTCAGTTATATCAAACATTGGACAGACGTTGTGTCTACGACATGGCTACAATAAATAATTATCATACAATAAGAGAGTCCTAAGTCGTAAAGATAACTTTTATAGTTCTGGAAAAAATATTGAGTCTGCACGTGTCATTAGTATCTGATAATAAATTCTAAATACTGTCGCAGTGCAATCTTAAATTGGATTCCCAGGTTGGGCTTATAACGTATCGTATGTCTGCATTGCTAGACTACAAACTTCCTACACAAAAGAGGGTTTAGCATAATCTCTTAACCTTGACAGTTCGGTTCGAAATCGCAGGCAAAAAAAATGATTTTCAGAGGGCGATGCTGCCCGGTCTGTACCAAATGTCCAATTCCAGGGTCGTGTCCTACGTTGAGCCGAATACGGACCTACCAACTGCTAATTCGGATAAGAAGCCACCTCAAAATAGTTTTATTATTAAAATTACTAAAATGAGGTACTCAAGGAGTTATTGAACATTCTTTGGGATACCTAGTCCAGTACCTATCCTTTTTTTGAGGGGGGAAAATCATCCAATGACTTCTCCCGCCCGTGTGAGGCGAGAGGGAGTGTCAAACTCTTACTGATTAAAAGCCACCCAGTTCCTACTCCTGCACTTCGAGCTGGAGCCCCGGCAACCCGTTAAATCTTCCGCCGCTCCGTGTCGGCATCAGATCCACTGGGATTCCTATCCTAAGATAATAATATTATGGTGTGTTAGTATTTAAAAACACAAATTAATTTCACAAGTTAATTAGCTTATTTTTTAACAGAATATATTTAATTATGCATGTTTTATTATGAAGTTCATTGCCATTTTTTTGCCAAGATAACCTCGAGACGCCTTAGTGTCAGTTTTTCTTTTTATGTAATAGGAGGCAAACAAACAGATGGATCACCTGATGCTAAGCTATTTAAAAGCACACAGCCTTTTAAAAGGGATACGCCCTATTCTTAAAGGTTTAAAGTTCGTATCGGTTCAGAAATACTGCCGGTGTAAGATCATTCTACACTTTTGCTGTGCAGAGCTGGCAGAATGTTTCTGGAGAAA